AATAAAAAATTATTCATTACTGTTCCATACCGCCTCGATACTATATAATATTCGTGTACGAGTTTCATGTGTAAATTTGATGCTTGATAGATACAGCCATACTATTTTGGAGCTCGGAAGTTGAATTCATATATAGGTGTTTTTGTAATAGTATACACAAAAGATCAGTTAAGTATCCATTTAAATTTTCTTAATATTTATAGTTCTTGATCTTTAATTATGTAGTATTCGTGTGTACGACGACAAAGTCCACCAAAGAATTTTGTTAGTTAGTCGCATACCTCGTACGTAATGTGTTATTTTTAGAGCATAATAAATAGCTCGAAAAACAAATAACAACTTTTGGTTGCATCTCTACCTATGTCTCTCCCCGAGTCCAACTTTTCCCTCTTTCCTCATCCCTTCATCTAGTGATGGAAATGGGACGGGGGCATGACATTACCATTCCCGCCCTACAAGGGAATTTCCCATATCATTCCCACCCAAATTTCGCTCGGTTTAGCTTTTTATTCTATGTTTTTTTTTTTAAAGAATTTTCCTTTTTAAATAATAATATTGGTGCACGCTTGCATGGTATTGTATGGCAATATTCTTTTTATAGCATAAGTTCGGAATGGTGATCATGGTCCCTGTCCAAGGACCCGGGTAGGTTGGGAATCCCCGTCCGTTTGGAGAGAGTATCACAAAGATCGGAGTCAATAGTTATTTTCTACCGTCCTTACTAACAACTAAAGAATTATGTTAGATGTATATTGTGCTTTACATCTTTTTTGACATCTTCCCTTATGTGGAAGAAATCTGTGCAATAATGTGATAGATGAATTCAAAATCAATGACTTTGATTAATTAATGTGGAAGAGTGTCAACCAAGACGTGAACGAGAGTGTACATGAAGCACGGTTGAAAGTGCAAATGCTCTAAATTTTTTGGTAAATATTTATTAGTTTTTTATGTAGTTACAAAGGAAAAGTCCGTCTAAATTCCATCCAAATATTTTTAATTAATTTTAAATTTCTTCGCTTTTTATCTACAGATTATGATGGAATATAACCCATAGAAATATTCATTTGTAATCTATTTAAGGATGACAAAAAATCTTGTTTATTTCGATACCCACAGGTTCGGGCCTAAATGGGATGAGGATTATCCGCCTAATTGGATAAGCGGGATGGGGATCGTTTCCTGGAAGCATATACGGAGCAGGTACTAGAAATGTAGTCCCTACCACGTCACCATCCCCGTTTAAATTTAATTTCAAATTAAAATTTTTTTTTATCAAAAAAAGAAAAGATTTATTTTCATTATCATAGAGAACATAAGTTATTCTTAACAAATTAGAAGAAGAAGAAGAAGAAGAAGAAGAAGAAGAAGAAGAAGAAGAATAATAATAATAATAATAATAATAATAATAATAATAATAATAATAATAATAATAATTAAAGACAAAAACAAATAAAAGCAAAAATAAAATAAATAAATAAACCAAATAAATAAAATGGGACGATAAACGAGGTGGGACTGCCCTGATCTCGCCCCATTTTGCTTTAACTTGATATGGAACGGAATAAGATGACAAAAATACTTAACGGATGGAGGATGGAAGTAACCTATCCATCCCATACTGATTCTGTTGCCATCCCTAAATGTATTCGTAATTCGTTGATATATTTCTATCTTCTCGAAAAATGGAGGACAGGGGCAAGGGTCAGATGGTAGGGGTACTTCATATTGAACTTTAATTTCAACTTTGAGAGCAATAATAAACAAAATGAAATTTGAAATATATATATATATGAGTGAAAGGTCGAGTCCAAGGATTAATAGAAGCCATCAAGATTAGTACATTTTAGTAAGAATTTATTCCTTGTGAGACGATGAGAGTTACGTACTACTTGTCAATGATTCATTGTACTTGCAAAATTCACACTAACACTACTTATCTTGTTGATTTGAAGGTATTGAATTTTTTTAGAGCTTCAAGTTTTTTTCTTCCGAAATTACAAAAGATTGGCTTATAACACTTACAATAATTCTAAGTTTATAATGACGAACCTAAAACCAAAAAATGTTCTCTCTAAGCTTTTTGAATTTTAGTTCCAAGAGTTGAATGAAAAGCTGAGACTTTTTCTAACAATTACATAAAAGCTTTTATTTGTAAACTTATAGAAAATGATGATATTGGGTTTAGAATCTGTCTATTGTTATCTATTTTCAACTATATAATTTAATTTTCTTTTTCAAGATAAGCTAATTATATTCTTAATATGATCCAATCTTATTCCTAGTTCAAATTCATATGCATTACAATTATCAAAGAGATTGGACATGCCATACATGCTATTCCAACATCTATTGCCCGTTTGTTGACTTTGCAGTGTTCTAAATCTATTTGTGAGTTTTCCAATAATACAACGATCAACTAATTATTTAATTGGTGAGCAAACAATCATATAATGGAATTAAACATCCAAGATTAATCAATAAAAATAAGAATTAAATTAACTACTCATCTTGAATTAAAAATAAATAAGAAAAAAGGTTAACCTTCATCCAGCACATGAGAGAATTTATTCAAATATTATTGTATGTAAATTACACAAAAAGAATTGAAAAAAAATCGCCCGAAAATAAGAACAATGGGTCAATAATCAGCTTCTTCTTCTTGAATCTTGAAATTGTGCCTTCAGTTTTCGACTTTTTGTATATATTACCTTTGACTCTCTCGCTAGATCTCTTCTCTACACACTAATATTGTGTAAAACATCCTTGACACCCTCAGTTTAGGCCAAATAGAGTCTAGAAAATATAAAATTGTATCAAATTGGAATTAGTAATTAATCCTAACATGGACGTATTGAAAAAACTCATATAAGCCAAAAATCTCAAGTATCCTTGATCATGAGCCATATAATTATCACTATAAATAAGAACCATAATTCCAACAGTAGTGATTAAACTTGACATAATAGAAGTAAGTGGATCAATCATGTAGCCGAATTCTAAAGAAAAATCCTACATCCAGAAAGCCGTATACTTTGGAAGAAGCTTGTACAGTTTGGGAAGGGGTTTTGATTGATCAAAAAGAAGAATCTACCCGCAGATATTGGCAAAATAACAATTATTGTTAACCAAGGAAAATGATTCGTGGTAAAGACAAGATACACTTGGGCCATAAAAACCCATGCTAAATTTGATATTTTTAGATACTTTTTAAGACCTATTGTCGATACTAAGTAGCAGTCAAAAATTTGTATCCATTTTTCATGATATTATGCATGGATTAGGTATATCATGGCGAATTCTTCAGAAAAAATTTTGTCCCCTAATTAATTTGCTCATTTGATTGTATTCGGGTGGAATAATGATAAAGAAAGTGGGAGGGAGAAAAGAATTTACAAAAAATGGGATTCCTGAAAAATGGATTAATTCTTGATTCGAAGAGGGGAGTCGATTCTATTTAGGATTAGAAATAAGCGTAATCGGAAGTGTTTGTGATTGTTCTAGAAGAAATGAAATCAATAGAACCCTCTTCATTTTAGGTCTAAATTATTTGCTTTTGTGAATACGAAAATGTGCCAATTCTTTTCTCTCCCCATCTAAATCTAATTTTCAATTGGATTGATGCATTTGAATTGATAATAAGAAGCCTTCGTATCTTAATGCACGTATTTAATTTATTCGGAACTATTAGAGCGGGATCTACTTTTTGGAGAATATGAGTCTAAGCAACAACAAGAATATTTCTAGTGGAACATCTATGAGAATTATATGAGAAGAAAATAATCTTTGATTCGTTTTTGAAAAATAAGAACTAGCTTTCTTTTGAACTTTACTTATTTCTTTTTTTGAGAGAATATTTCTAATGGAACATCTCTAAGAATTATATAAAAAGAAGAATAATCTTTGATTCATTTTTGAAAAAGAAGAATTGGCTTTCTTTGGAACTTTGCTTATTTATTTTTTTGAGGATCGACGAACCAAATAATATTTCTGTTCCAATTTTTGCCTCTTCTTCTCCCTCTGAATCAAACTTTTCTTCCCCTTTTTTGTAGATTTTGGTCTGTATCTAAAATTATGATTTTACGTATGGACAATTCTTCAATATCTTGTTTATTCACAACAAAATAACCAAACATGGTTTTGTCCATAATCTATTCTAAATGGATTGTTCAATAACTAGTTGTTGCTCATGAATGTATGCAGTTACTAAACTACATCAAATTGTTTGTGTTATTATCTTATACAATGTACTTATTTAACCTCTGTTTGGTGACGTTAAAATTTAAAAAATACTGTTTTGAATAGAATTTTTTAGAGAATGTGTGGTTAAAATGTAAGAAAAAAATTTCGGGTTTACCTATATAATATTTGATTGTTTGGATGTGTAGCTAAAAATGATTATGAAAAATAATAGAAAATAAAGGGAATTAAACAGTGGCTTAATTAATATTGGTAAATTAATAAAAACTGTTACAACATTTTCACCCTCAATTTTAATGCTACTCACACTCTCCCTTTTGGTAATTTTCAATATAATGAAAAAAAAGATTATGAAGTTTTTTTTCACTCGTTGGAAAATGTGTACACCACTATTAAACAACGAATAATGTTGAATGAACAGGGAAATAAGACAAATTGATGTGGCAGTTCATGATTGAGTGTTTTTATGTTATTATTTTCTCAATTCTCAATGAGAATCTATCAAGTATTGTCTAAAAATGAAATTCTGTCACTAACTCTAACTATGTAGCATGATTATAGACAGATTAAGCACCACACATTCCACCAACCCAATTACCAAGAAGTGCTGAACTTAAATCATGATCCGAATACTCCTAACATAAACTTAGATGCTGCAGGTGCCAAATTCTTATCAAAACTTCTATTTTTGTTGTGAATTTGAATTGGACGTAATAGTAAATATATAATATTTATATATATATTGAGTGTGCGTGTAGTTCTTTATACAATTTCTGTGAAAGAAAATTTATCTTTGTATGTACTGTACTAATGTATTTATTATAAAAATAATAAAAATAAACGACTTAAAATCACAGGATCACAAAACACCATGGTTTTCCTGCTGTAAATTATGCCAAGAAAACTGCAATTTTTTATATATTTCTTCCTGTTGAACTTCCCACGAGAGGTATGAAGGAAATTGCAGGATAAAATTTAGGATTTCACAATCAAGATTCTTTGACAACGCAAGCTGTAATGAGATTCCTGCTTTGTAAGAGGCATTCAATTTGAAGTTTTTGGGGTTTCATACGGCCCAACCTAGGCCTTTGGCTTCTGATCCTTTCTTGATTCTTAGTCTCTTGCAGGATGACATGAACATACTGCACAATAACATAAATAAACAAGATTACTGTTAGTCATGTCGTGTACTATATATTAAATATGTCCCAATATTATTTGTATGTGTGTTTACGAAAAAAAAAAAAAAAAAGAGGCATGCGAAAAAGTAAACTTACTCCCAAGGGACATCTCCAACAAGCATTAAGTCACCATCTTTATCTTCATAAGCAGGTGCATATTCTGATCCTTTGTAGCCTTCCCTCTCTGAGTACTCCCCTGATGAATAAAATTAATACCATACTTATATTAGAACAAAATCCCATGGAAATCCTTTTTGGGGAATATTTGCTCCCTTGTTTGAGCCCCATTTTTCCCAAAAGTCATTTCAACTGCGCATTCTCCCATAAAATAGTTTTACGCGTAAATCCAAAATTTTTTCCTATTTTATAACCACGTATTCTCTCAGAAATCACTGTTCCAAGACACATTTTCCCAAAAACTTTGGCTCAAACGGGGGCTTGGTAAGTTCGACTAAATGATACTGGACATTCCATGATTCCAATACTATACAATTTGTTGTACCAAATGTGCCATTATAATAGAATATCTTGTGCAGATAATAATGCAAGAAATTAAGAATATATCCTTACCTATTCTGAGTTTGAACATGCTTTCTAAAGCCTTGAGGAGATCTGTATATCCATTATAAACTTTGAGATCGACCTTTCTAAGAAAAGGGGCTCCATCCATGCTTACTTTCACATACATCCCAGTTTCAGAGTCTTCCTTCTTCGGCTGGAGATTGCTTTTCCGGTAGGACCTCACCGGTGGCCATCCAACTATATGAGACCTTAAAAATCAAATACCAACTAAACAGGTCAGTTGCATGCTGACAAAAACCTCAGATAAACTTTAGTATATTGATTAAGTTCTGCGCAATCGGCCAAATTTAATGCATGACTTACTTGGATGCAGATGAGGTTTCATTTTCAGCAGATTTTGCAGCAGAATTGGCCTTTAATTCGCTGTCATCAACGGATTCAGGTGAGGCTCTCTTGTTATTGTTAGCGGTGGAAACCATGTCATCAGATTCATCTGTGCCAGGCAATCCCAATCTCAGCTCAGTTGCCTTAAGATTTAGATCATTTTCATGAGCCATAATCACTTTTGATAATTTCCCAAATGAACTCTTAATTTATGAAATAATTCTGTACCCCAAAGAGCCTTTGACTTTCAAAGCCAAATTTGAAGAAGTATCCAATAAATTTCTTGAAATAAGCTCAAGCCTTTGTTTTCAAGTTTTCTGCTGATATTATCAATCTAAAATACTTTGGTGTGAAGACAACTGCAAGGTGGTGTTATATAGACATGTGATATTTACAAATGGAGAAGGATTTTTATTTAGCCTTGTTATTGGTATCAACCGCATAAATTTCGGACAAAGGCAAGTAAAGCTGTCGGCAGGAGTGGCTGCACCTTTGAGGCAACTGCTCCTCCATTCAGGGGACAGGAGAGGGACAAGCTCAGCCGCCCATATGGATGACTTTTTCGTGGAATCAAATGGGGGGAAGGTCAAGTTGATTATTTTTATTTATTTATTTATTTATTTATTTTGGCAGGGAGGGGGGCGAGGGGGGATATGGGAGTAGAATTAGGTGCGTTGATTCCTGAGGTGTGTGAATGGAAACTAGAAAGACTCCACCTATTGTGGCATAAGTCATAGCCATTTGATTTTATGAGTACTAATTGGTATTAATTCGATTTGAATCATGTTAGAATTGAACCTAGAATAAAATTGGATGGACAGGGAAAGAAACAAGGTCTAGAAAACAGGCTGATTTGGTATGATTTGATTGAGTGTTTTTATGTAATTTTTTTTTTCAACTTCAAATGTTAAACTGTCAATTGTTATCTATCAATGAAAATCTGTCATTGACCTTATTTGTATAACTTGGTTGTTGAACCTAATCAATCTATGCTCTCCCCAAGGTGAAGAGTTGGGTGGTAGGTGGGGTTGAGGAAGTATTCGGTTCGATACGAATCATGTCAGATTTGGACCTATTCAATCTATGCTCACTCCACGGTGAAGAATTGGGTGGTGGAGGAGGTTGAGGTGCTTACTATGTGAATGGAATTAGATGAGTGGAGCCACTTGGTTCAAGTATAACTTTTTCAGTATTTTCTATTTTATTTTATTTTCATTAAAAATAGACCGATCGGATCATACTCACGTCAAGGAGGAGGTGGTTGGATTAATCAGTGGAGCCATTTGATTTCAAGTGTAGAATTTTCGGTGCTACTCAGTTCGACTTGATTCTCTACAAAACCAAAACGAACGAGATCAAGTTAACCCGGGAAGGAGGGGGGCGGGTGCCTGCCATGTGTGGAAAGGATCCATGTGAGCGTTAGATATGGGAATAACATAGGCATGTGGGGCTAAAATTTCTTAAGAGATTCCAAATTTAGGCTAAATTTGACTATTTACTCATAACTAATAATAGGTTTAGCAAATGCAATAAAACAGCTGTCTGGACTTTTTTTTTTCATATATATTTTTAAACTTTTTTTAAAACAAAAACTGCTATTAAGAAACTATACTGCTCAATATAAGTTAGCAAATATAATTTAGATAGGAAAACTCTACATTTTCTCACATACGATTGTGAAAAATTCAATTATACAAATAAAAAAATGCATATTTTAGAATAATTTAGTGAAGATGTTTCAAAAAAAATGTAATAAATAGAATTTTTAATATTAAAAAGGATTAGTAGTGGAATTTACAGAGAAAAATCCGTCGCATTTCGACTTTTCGCAGCATAATTTTGCAAGAGGTTTTGCCATTTTTTTTTCTTTTGCTGATTTTTAATAACTTAAAATAACCATGACTGCTTATTTCCAATAATCATCATACAACTTGATAAAATCTCAAGTTAAAGTCAATATTTAATTTTAAGCACACATTTCATGGGATCTATAATTTTTCAATTACACATTTTATCAATTTTTATTAAAATATACTGAATGCCTGATTTTAATGTATACCAAACTTGGGCTTAATCTACAATAATAAAGAAATTTTGAGTAAACATAGTAGGCTGAAAGAATAAGTTATGTAAAAGGTGAATGGAATGCAATAGTTAGTACACACCATATATTTTTATTTACTAATTATTATATATAATTTTTTCAAAAGCTAAAAATATTCTTCTTTGTGATGAGTTCTTATAATTGTAGACGGCAAGATGGAATAATTTTGACTTACTCTAAAAAGTATTCTCTGAGTAAAGTTTACTTATAAAATATTAAATATTCTTATTTTTAAAGAAGATGCCCTTTTTTTTGTCTGACTTTTGCTTAACACATAGGTCTTTTATATTCATTGTTCTCTCTCCTTGTTAGGTTCGAAATGATTACACGATTGTGAAGAATCTATAACAAGCTGAATATATATATATATATATATATATGCTTCACCAGACCTCCAAAAAATAAAATGAAAGTAAAATTTAACCAATCTTTTCAATTCGAAATTGAAGAAAATATGAGACAGGCTCAAAAGGTTGAATAAAACTAGTGATGGGGCAGTTTACCCCATCCGATTGGGGCCAAAAAGCGGTGCGGATGCCCCGCCCCGAACCCACTCCGTGATTTTATTTTATTTATTTAAAGGTCAGAGTTCAACTTGCTTTAAATAGAAGGATGTGACCTATTTTCTTGTTCCTCGATTGCACAAGTCTTATCAAACTTGACTAATTTATATATACCATTATGCTACTTTGTCAAATTGATATTATATTGATAAAAACAAATATAAAAAGATATAACATGTTCAATTGAGCAAATTTGAAAATCTATATATTGTAATAAATTAAAGTGTGTGGGGTTACAACTTTTGTAACAATATTAAAACACAAAAAATCTTATTCATCCTAATAATCAATGTTGTGTATCAATAACGACCATTATATTTAAGATTTGTAGTGTTTATTTTGGATATTAACTTTATCAGTTTGAATGTTATCTGTATTTTATTGAACTCGAAATTAATAAAAAATAAAAAAAAATTAAATGGGGCAAGCCCACTGCCCCGCCTTGCCCCGAACCCGTCCCGTTGCCATCACTAAATAAAACGACAAGAATACAATAAGGGTCCGTTTGATTGCAAAAATGAAATTGAATTGAATTGAAAACGAATTCCAGGGAATTGAATTGTTTAGAAATTGTTTTCTTGAGAATTGTAAATTATTGTGTTTGATTGATATAATTTTTTACGTGAAAAATGTTGAAATAAAAGTGTTTTTTGGTGTTCGTTTAGTTTTGTTTTACATGAAAATTATCAATTAAAGGGATAAAATTTACTGGTATTGAGGATGAAATTTAGTTCCATTGCCAAAAAAGAAAAAAATTCAAAAAAATCATCTATATTTTGATGTTCATTTGACTTTATTTTATATGGAAATTCCCATTTAAAGGAAAATATCTTTTTACAATTGGGAATAGAATTTATTTTCATTGACAAAAAAAATTAAATTAAATTAAAAAAAAAAAAAAAAAGAAACCTTGAAAACAAATTCTCACACAACCTATAGGAATTCGAATTCCTTAAAAAGCTAGAAATCAGGTGCATGAGGAGAGGGGTGGAAAAATCACTTCCAGGGAAAAACTTTGCCATCAAACATTGTTAAAGTTGGAAAGTGAAATTCTATTTCCATTTCCCATTGATTTTCCATGCTATCAAACAGGGCATAAGGATAAAAGCAAAATGCCTCAGGCCCTACCCCTAGTAAGAATATGTTGTATGAGTTAAACAAGATGTTCTATCATTTTAAAAAATCACATTCAAGATGTTCTATCATTTTAAAAAATTACATCCTTTATTAACTGTAACATTGTATCTTTTTGTTGGAGTACGGTGATCCAAATTATGTTTAGTCCGGCATGAAAAGTTTGTGATGCAATATATGTGGTGAAACCAAAATTATGAAAAATTTTGGGGTCAGTGGTAGGGGACGAGGTCGGACCGGAACGTTGGGGCTGTTGGGGCTCTACTTTCACGATATGGGCCTGCTTTTAATTCTCGTGTATATATATACACGGAATTGATAAGTACCACGTGATGTGGTATGCTATAATTGGTGGTGTAATTAGTATTTGTAACCAATCATTTTCTCTCATTACCTATTAGATTATGTCATGTCACCCAAGTACTTTATACAATTTAAACATCGGCGCTTAAGAGATAAGTCCTATATACACACACACGTGAATACTTTATTACAATCTATGTCAAGCCAGTTATCTAGAATGAAGCAAAATTCAGAATCAAAAGACCCAAAGAAGGAAGAAAACCTACAAACTCAATATTTAAACCTATTGAAGAAACTATTCCAAAATCAAGATTAAGAAAACTCTCCACCGAATCAAGTGTTATTACTGAATTAGCCTAACAATTATCAAAATTATCTACGTCTAATAATGTTAAGGTGTTGATTCAATTAATGAAATTGAAAGTCAATTCAAAGAAGAACATGAAGACTCTCAAATCAATAAATTAAGAGGTCAAAATTCAAAATTGCCAAAATTTTTATCCAATACAATCCTTTCTTGATACGCAATATGAAGAACGAAGAAGACCTCAAACAACATATAATGGGAATGAAGTTGTTGAATGAAATATTGATGGAATGGTTGAATATCAAATTATTCAAGTCATTGAAAATATGGCTACGTATCATTCAACCTATGTCCTTCGTGACATTCATCCACTTACTGCTTTCAGTAATATTATTACTAGTCTTACGGCTCAAATAAAAACTTGGTGGACTAATTATCTCAATGAAAATGAACGCACCAAGTTATACAACGCCATTAAACCTGACGGAACTAATGACAGTATTATGACTTTTTGGTAGCTGTTATTAAACATTTCATTGGAAATCCCACTTCATTACAAGAAAGATCCTTGGAAATTTTAATGAATTTAACTTTTCCGAAACTTCATGATTTCAATGGTACAAAGATATCTTCCTCACTAAAGTTTTAGTGAGAAAAGATCAATCTTTTCGGAAAGAAAGATTTTCCCCCCATTGATTTGAATTATAATGGGAGGAATACAATTTTTTTTTTTTTTTTTTGTTAAATGAGTGGTTGTGAAAAAATGAAAAGTTTTCAATTTATGTGTAATATTATTTTATAGAAAATTTTGTAGTTGAAAATATGAGAGAGAAAAATTTAATTTAAATTGATGAAATTTAAAGGGGGCCAAACGAGGGCTTGTATTCGGCCTTCCAAAACTCTTTGCTGAGAGAGTTAGAACTTCCAAAACTCTTTGCAATCCCATATGCTTCTTTGTCCCATGGAGAAATCATAAGTTATAGTAGTAAAGAAGGATTGACATTATGCAATGATATGAAGCTCAAAGCAAAACTTAAAAGCGAAAGATCTAAGAGCCGTAAAGAACTTGAGTCATTTTGCGAATAATATGGTTTTGAGAAAATCACTCCATCTT